CGCCTACACCGGCGCCCACACCCGCCGCGCCGGGAAACGCCGCCCGCGGCTGCTGCTACAAAAGTTAAAACCTAGTCATTTAAGGCAGAAGCCGCTTCTTGGTAACATTTGAATTCCATGTGTACAAGTTATGATCTGAAACAATCCTATCGGCTGTAGTAACAATGTATTATATTTTGATATGCTGCATGAGCGGTGCACTCCACCTGTGATATACCATATCCACACAGAAGACAGGGGTCTAATGAGAATGATTATGCTGATCATTTCATGACTGGGAGAACCAGACACCAAATTTTTGCCTTCCTCTTATCTTTAAACGGCACATGAGCAGTTGTACAGAAAAAGGATTCATTCTCATTCTATTCTTTATCATCATTATCAGCTCACTATACGTCCCCACCGAGGGTTTCGGAGCCTACCCTAAGTTAAGGGTGGTTAGGTCATAGTCAACCATGCTGGCCAAGTGCGGGTTGGTTGACTTCACACATATCTTTGAATTTCTTCTCAGTTATGTGCAGGTTGCATCACAATGTTTTCCTTCACCGTAAGAACATAGGATAAATGTACAAATGTAAATCGGAAATCGAAAAACACATTGGTACATGGTGGGATTCAAACCCAGGACCTGTAGATTGCAAGTCAAGTGCTTGACCCCTGAGCCACCGATGCTATTCTTTATAAACCCTACCAAATCTTACTTTCCCTTCTCATCCTTTTCTTATTAATAAATGCTGGGAAAATAAAGAGGACCACAATTAAGATGTTTTATTAATGTAACAAAAGTAATAAGGTCAAATTTATAAATAGAAAGGAAATGGTTAGCATTCTTTGTATGGAAAATTGTATTTTATTACCTAATTAATTATAAAAAGTTTTATCGAGTTTAGCTATTTTCCTTTAACATTAATGAAATTTTTACACATATTGCGGTTTTTTACGTTTCTAAGAAGTGAAAAGTTAACGAAAATAAAAAGGTGCATAAGTGTACTAGATGAAAGACTCTTGTCGACATTTATTTTGTTCAAACACTTACAGGGAAATTAGGACCGGAGTAAGGTCTCTGCTGCATTGGAGACCCTGGAGGCTGTGCTGGGCCCGAGTAGCGTTGCTGCGCTTGCATAGGCCCCGCCGGCGGCCCTGAGTTCGCTCCCCCCGAAGGAAAACGCTGCGCCATTTTAGACTATTGTATACCTACTTTGTAAAACCTTGCATCATTCTGTAAGAATCATATAATACTCTCAAAAGATTGGTTATATTTTGGCTGTATCTTTAAAAATGCTTAAGATATTTCATATCGCAACAAAACAGCAAACAGACACTTAACACTAAACTAAAACAATCAAATCTTAATCTCAATTGTACCACAAACAAGGAGGGTCACGTCAACTGTCAAGCGTCAACGGCAACGTCAACGCGTCAAGCTATTGCAATCAGTGTTGCCAATGAACATTTTTACCCAATTTTTACCGATAGACTAAGAATATTACAATAGATCAGCAGACCAGATGTTTGCGTATACCCCGTATATATATAAGGGACAGAGATAAGTTGCGTCATTCGTACCTATACTGTGTCTATATAAGATAAATTATTTTGACAACTGTTGCACTTAATGGTCGATTGTCATAGTGTCGGACCGTCACTTACAACGAATAACTTTGAACTATCGAGAATCGATCTTGTAATAAAATTAATTCATCAAATGGGTACCATAATGTAGGTATTTTATTATATAAATTTATGAATTTATTGCAGTTATTAGGCTATGTATCGCACAATTAATTTAAAAAAATGTTTTTTTGCGTAAACACCGCAATTTTTGGTTTAATGTCTTATTTCTTTATGTAGTTATGAAGAATAAAGTAGGCATAGAAAGAGACAATTCTATTTATATTGTAGTTCAAAATTATTAATCAAGACATTTTCGATTGCAAGTTCTATAAGAACAACCATCGAAAATCGGAAATATTCTTAATCGATTGTACTCAACCTATATCTAGTAAATTGTCAATTGAATTGTCAAACTAATATCTTTATTAGACTTACTTGAGACTTACTATAATTTAACAATTAACTTTGAGAATTGAGCAGTAATTTTAATCATCTATATAAATATACTAGCTGTCGCCCGCGATTCGAGATCAGTTCAGCTGTTTTGGAGATACCTTCAAACCTTTATCCGTCCATACATCTAAACTTTCGCATTTATAATAATAGATAGATGTATAGTTTGAATTAAACAGTATCTACATATTACATAATAGCAAAATTGATGTCTTCAGATATACTTAGTAATAAATTATATGAGAACAACAATTACCGGAAGATTGAATGTGTTGATTGAGTGATTGCTCGGAAACTACAAATTAGGTCTGTTTGCCACAGAAGCAGCGTATTTTCAAAAATGAAAACAAAGAAAGAAAAAATGAATAAGCTCCTAAATTGCTACAACATATCAAGGTATATTATAAAATAACTTTTGCCCGCGACATCATCGTCAAAAGTTTTAGATCTTTTTTAGTACCTACAACTTTGCCATTTGACTTTTTTCGATAGGACGTTTAGTTTTGCCGGAAACCGAGAAAAACCGTTTTTTACCCTTAAAAACTCACCCCATCTCCCTCCGATTAAAATATTTAAAAAAAAATTTCCTTTCATTTTTATAATATTCCCCTCGTTTTCTAATCAGTTTCATCGTACTATTATTTTTTTTGGTTTTAAAAATTATCGACCCTTGTCTATATAGGGGAGGTCTAACCTTAGTTTCGGGTGACGGATCCCCCGAATTTTCCCTCTCACATCCCAACATGGCGTCTTTAACGCCGGGAAGTGAGATTTCATCGCCTATCACCCAACAAGATGCAGCGCTCTCCGGACCAGGCAGTGCACATCTGTAAGGTGTATTGCGCCGTGTCTTCTAAAGGGCCGCTACCATGGCACAAAGCTGCCTCTTCCCTCCCAATCCGCCACAGGTACCTTCCGAAACACCGGATACCGCCTGTTAGTATCTGATTCGGAAAGTGAGGGATCTGAACTTTCTTATACTCCTCCGGGGCGGGCAACTCGCCCCGGGCTATCTGTCTAACATGCATCACTCCAGCCTCTATTTCCCATGGGGGTGTACCGCCTAACACGCAAGCTGCAGCGCGACACACCGTGCCGTAGGCACGGCAGGCGCGTGTCGCAATTATAAGTTGCGGCGAGCGGAAGAGGGCTCGAGGGCACGAGGGCGTCCAGGGCCTTTGCCCGAATGGGCACGCCATATAGAGTCGTGCTCCGGAGAATCATGGAGTACACCCTTCTGCAGGTTGTACCCGGTCCTTCCACATGTGGGGGGAACCTGGACAGTGCCGCCGCCGCATCCACTTACAATCACTTGCAACAACCTGCAACGAAGTAGCCCATGTGATATTCGTTATGTTTTATATCTGTGCCGAATGTAATACAAAGCAATCTTGTTATACTGAAAAAGTTTAAAGACAAAAGTTTCATTTTGGATGTGAATTCAATTCCAAGTCTATGTGCGATAAAAAGAAAATTATGGACCTGATACATTGGGCAAAATGCGAACACTTTTATTTCACAAAAATATATATTTTACAATTTTTCAAGTTTGTGTGTGACATCCATATTATCAAAGTACATAAACACTCTTACATACAGGTGATTCTTACTGGAAGTATCAAAAAGCTTTGTGGAAGTGCAGGTCCTCAACAAATTATCCTCCAGACCAGACATCCTTAATCCGCAACCGTTTATGTGTTGCCTACCAGTAATTTCCCCTTCCTATGGAGTCCTTCCTCCGCCGTCAAGTCCCATTCCCCTTCCTTTTAAGAAAAGAGTGGGAAGGGAAAGAAGACTAAAATAAGGCCTCCGGAACTTTTTGGACCAAACGCGGAATTACTTCGCGATGGCGGCGGTGCGGCGGCGGAGTTCACCTCAACCAACAGATTCGACCGGCGAGCGGGCCGATCGGAGCTGGGACCTAGCAGCCGTCTTTCAGAGCAATTCCGTTTCCGGCAGGAACTAGGGTCTAGCAACCGTATCTCAGAGCGATGCCAACAAGAGCCAGAGCTGAGCAACCATCAGCAGAGCTTAGAGCATCTTAGTTGCTTTCTGAATTGGATCATAACTTATAACATACTATCACTCGTTTCTCGTTTGAAACGGAGACAGCTATAGGTATAGCATGCTCTCAGCAGTGCTTAAGTCAGCGGAAATTGGTCTTCGGTTGAGTTTAATGTATTGTGTGAAGTGAGGATATACTCGGTATCTTGCGGTCTCACCACACTGTGCTGGAAGTAGAGGCGCCATCGCCGATTTGCTTTGACCGCCGCTTCAAATAATATAATATCTATCTATTGACATTTAAGCGTCCCGTTATCATGCTCCGTACTCCTGCTGGAATATTACACAGCCAGTGATAATGATAAGTGAGCGGCGACGGTGCGGGGCGCGGGGCGCGGGGCGCGTGTACGCCGCGCGGGCGGGGCGGGGCGTGGGGCGTGCCCGCGCCGCCGTGCTGCCGCCAGTCCACGTCGCGCGTCCGTCTCGAGTGTATGTGTAGATCGCTCGCGTTCGTCGCGCCAAGCTCGCGTCTCTGCACGTCCTACGTCCACGGACGGAGTGGCGGTTCGCATCTTACCGGGCAGCATTAGAGTCGTTTCGTTATTTTCTAATACTGTCAGGTAAAGATGTCGTCCGCGCTCCAAGTTCTGCACATGAAGAAGTCTGCGAGGAATTCGGGCCGGGCCGTGGAACCGGTCGGTGGTTTATATTTACCGGCTGCGCCGGCGCTACGCGTTGCGGTTGCGTCACGGCGAGCGCCGCCCGAGCCACGCATATCGCCGCCACGCTACACCACCCGCCTGGATGGACTGCCCAGGGATGGAGAAGAAGCAACTGGTAAAGCTATGTGAGCGCCTCGGGTGCAGACAGCACGCAGGCGGCCGCCACGTGTTCGCGCGCTAGCGCGCCGCCGCACCGTGCGCTGTTCTCACAAAGTGGTCGTGCAGGTGGACTCATTACATGTGTGTCCCAAATACCTACATAAAATTAAATTTGGAGAATATATACTTGCAAGGCAAAATTTTATTTGTGTACAGATATTGCTAGATACGTTCGTAAAGGGTTAGAAAAATTAGATAATATAATCGTTAATTTAGTAAAGTAAAGTGAGACAGTAGCACAACGCAACGGTACGTCGTATATTCTGTATGTACATCAGCGCGCCGCTCACTTCGCCTCCTTTGCTAATTAAAATTCCCAGCAAAAGCGCGAGCTCGCGTTTCCAACCCATTAACTCTGGCCGCCATCCGCTGGCGGCCGGTCGTTATCAGCTGGCCGGTGGTCGCAGGCCACCGAGCATGGCCACATGTCACATTCGAGAGGACAGTTTGGAATTAGCTTTTCCATTTGTCGATTATTAAGATGTTAGTCGCGTTCCATCGCGCGACCCGCGTGACTCGAAACAGAACGTTTGCACACCATTTAAATGCAACCTCTTTTTCGCGTTTCTTAATTACGTATTAGGAGGTTGCGGCGCCGGCGGTCGCAGCACGCGGCAGCGGCGCAGCACGCGGCGGCGCAGTGCAGAGAAAGCCGCCTCGCGCCGGCCGCTTTCGAATTAAATTTCCCCGGCGCGCCGCAAGCGGCGGTGCGGCCGCGGCACGGGACCGGTTCTTAACTTCCTATAGGTGCGCGGTGTGCATCTATTTCGGGAGTCGTCGACCGCGGCGCGTCGCCGCGCGCGTATTTCAGGAGGTGACGTCACAACGACCCGGGAGTGCCGCCTTATTAATAAAAGGGGGCGCGGCGCTGCACCCTCGCGAGGCTGCGGTCGTGCACACTTTGTCCGATGGTCATCCTTCAACATCTCACGTGACACTTCGAGGATTTGCAAAAGGACAATAATTATGGCATAACAAATGTACATTAATTAGCCCGAGTTGTAATTTGGCTACCTCTTGTTCGTCTAGTTCATCGTAATTTTCTTTCTTCGAATTAACGAGACCACGTGTCTAGTGGAGCGTTGCGTCGATGACATTAAAATATAAGCATATAAGTGGCAGCAATCACGCTGGCTCCCGGGCTCCCGTTACTGGCCACTGGTGACTGCGACCGAGCGCGGAGCCGTGTCAGCGACACGATGACCCGCACTCCTTGGCGAAAACGAGGTAACTTCTGCGATGCCACACATCTACAGTGCAATAAGAAGTGTCCCTCGAGCGACACCGGTCGAAAAGCAAACTGTGCGCAGCGGGACGCTAGCGATACACAACACGAAGGCGGTATCATGTTATAACGACAATTAGCCTTTCCTCGTGACCTTTGCGTCGCCGCTAACCCTGCGCCCTCAGGCTCTCCAATTGCTTTCTATACAGGTGGCAGGTAGTTGGTTACAATGCCGTTGCAGCAAAGCAGAGCGCAGCAGGCCGGGAGACGCCCGCGGAGCGATCATTTTAAGCAGTTTTTTGTTTTCTCATTGGTGTGTCTTGTTTTCTCTTTTCTGTGTTTTCTTAATATGAAACTATTTTGCCTAATGTGTGAAGTTGATAAAATATTCATTCGATTAGAAAGTAGCGCTGATGAGCTGTGAACGCTTCCACTTTCTAGCCACTTCTTTGATTTTATATTTCTTATCATGATCTTTGTATTAACCGACTAAAACAAAAGAACATCTAATTTTCTAATCCTGTGAAAACAAATAAATGCGGGAATTATTTTTAGGTAGCGCCGTAGAGAGCAAATGCCACGCTTGTCCCCGGTGCGGTCGTGTGAGGCTCGCGCGCATCCCGCCTTGCCTCGCCTTGCACTGGACAATTCAACGAAAAGACATCAACGCGAGCGCCCGCGACCTAACAACAAAATCGAGGAACAAAATGTTGTTATCCCAATAATATATAGTAGCGCGCCAGCCCCGCGCCCCGGATCCGCGCCCCGGCTGCTTTTCCATCTTATATCGACCTAATTGACGACTTCATTGAAATATAACGTAATTTAATGCAGTCCAAGTTTGAGGGGGTGATACGTGTTCGTGCGAACTGACACGTGTGGCTAGTGGTCGGAGCGATCGTTATCCCAGCTGAGGACGACGGGTGCCGCGGTTGGGTGCGGCACGAGAGGGGGCGCCTCACAACTGTTGATTCCACTCGAGGGCGACAGCTCGCTAACGGGCCGGGCTGTGCCTACTACAGCATGAGATCCCGCTCGGACGTGCCCGTCCGGGTGCTTGACGGCGAAACGTTTTTTTTACGTTGTATAATTTCCATAGATTCAGGGATATCTCGTCGCGGAGCGGCAGCTGTTAGATAAAATACAGCAATATTTTAATTACATACGTTGAATGAATTATAGGTAATTACATCAATTTGGCGTGTGGATACAGAGATCACTCTTATCTGTAATGTATGTCTTTCTGTAACTCTGATTTAACACGGAGTTGGTGTGTATTCAAAATGTGAATATATAATTAAATGAGTAGGCAAGTAGCTTCTACAAATGATACCAATCAGGCGAACGGCAGCGGCCGATAGCGAGAACGACAGGGCCCGACGATAGGCGTGCGGGCAGGGTGCGCGCGCGGGGCGTGCGGCCGCCGCCTATCGCCTTCGCTTCTATCTGCAATCGCCCTTATCCCTGATAATGTATTTTGGAAGGTATTAGTGCGGTTATCAGATAATCGATGGCCACCGAACTAGGTCTGTGTGGCGGAGATAACGGATCGCGCAACGTGCTCGCCTCGTGTGCTCCGAGCTCAGCTTTCTACAAGTAACGCCAAAAGAAATTTACCTAATTATAGAGGAAACTTTTCCATATAGCTGTAGCAAGGGCACTTGTTCATATTTTTGTTTATAAATGTTATTTCATTAAAGTATTTTTCTAAATTATATGAGATAGAGGACAGGCAAATTCATAAAAAAAAATATATCGTTTGCAATCCGCGCGAGATGCAGACGCGGCAAAATAAACATAATGTAACATTACTTACTTAATTATTTAAGTAACTACCCATTTATGTCAACATTTAAATGTTTAAATTTGCCTAGGCCTAGGCGAGTGATAAATTGCACATCGATCGCATTTATTCATAAATGACTGACTGTTCGACACTTTGTGCTTATTGCATTAAATGAAGGTTTCGCGCAACTTTATCAGCTGCTCTAATCAGTCAGTTCAATCAATCGGTGCTCCAATCGTATCATGAATTGTGAATACATAATAAGAAAATGTCGAAATACAGAATACACGTTATTTTGTGATGGAATTCGTTTGATATGCAATTTGCCGATATTGAATTTGATAGAATTTGCCTGAGGAACTAACTGACAAACGGGCGGCACGACACGACATTCACGATCGGCCGATGACGTGTATACAATTGTGATATCTTCATTTGACAACATATGTTGCTATAGTAGGTTAACGACTTTTGTTAAAACAGAACGCTGCGTGTGCGAGTCAGCAACCAATATGTGTGGAGCCGCGCGGGCGCAGGCCAGCGGCGGGCAGGCGTATCCGGGCCGCTGGTCGACCGCCCGCTGTCCGCTGCCCGCAGCCCGCAGTACGCTACAGCCACGAGAACTCGCTCTCGGAGCACCGCACATCTGGCGGAACACTTGCGGCCGTCAGGCGCACCATGTCCTCTTTATTATCAATTTCATTGTTGTAACAAGCAAATCAATGGTTTGACATATTTTACTACCGCGATTTTGGCGTCGTAATCGCCACCTCGATTGCTGGCCATCCGCGCACTATCAACCCGTGCAAGCGATAATGACTTAGAAACGAGTACTTGCTGGATTCATAAAAAATTTTCCGTGAACTCTTGTCGCGTAAATAGTTGTTAATTGTTGCTTAAAGAGGTTTGACCTCGTCTTTTTAACTTAATTGTAAACAGACACCACTGATATACCGCCGATACTACTCCACTTTGTCAAAAATGGCGTCCACTTTATCAGTGACCTTGTTCTGAATTAAAACTTGAATAATTGTTAAAAGAGTTCACTGTTTTTTCAATTCACTGCGTTCACGTTTCATTATTGTTAATTATACGAAGATATTTGCTTTGTTACTTTTCATATTTCGTACAAACATGATGATTTGCGTTACTTATAACATAAAAGGATTATTAAATGTTTGCTTGTCTGCATGTCTGCCATTGTAATCAATTGAATTATCTCCCAAACGGCTGAAACAATTTTGACGTAACTTTTTTTTAAATTTTATTTGGAACAACTAACGACTACATAATGTATATACTCGTAGTTTACAAAGACAATAATAGCTTACAAACCCTACCGTGGCGGCGCCAACCACACCGCGCAGTTAAAGGCCAATACATACCACTCAGATTAGTCGATGTAAGTTTATCATATCTGTATACGACGCATGACACTTCTCCTGAACAAGTTGTGGTAAACAAGTCAATATCTATAAACAGATAATTGTACAATCTCATCACCCTCCATAAGGGGGCGCGCTCACCAGCATGCTTCTTACATCGTTTTAGTGCGAACAGAACACTTTTACGAGTGCCGCGAATATGACATGTTCTGGCAGGCACATGTAATTTTATTTGTCTAATTCTATTCTATGCAGTTAAATTTATGGTTTAGGATGTTGTACAGCAACAAAACATCCAAGACATTACGCCTCATGTCAAGCGTAGGCAAATCATATTTCAGCAATAATGAAGTGTATGATGGCGCGCTGGCGCCGCGGTCACTGCGCGGTGTCACCTCGGTGTTGCTCCATAGCTAAATGGATTCACACAAACTTACATTGATTAAGATTCAAATGGATAACCTCGACCCCTCCATTTGAATACATAATGGTGGCGAGCGTGTGTAAGCGCCTTTTGTTAAATAATTTTTATTATTTCTAAAATACAAACACTACATATTTGTAATCAAAAGAATTTTCTATTCAATGAAAATGGAATTAATATATTCTATTCTTATAATAACTAGTATCCTCCTTAAACTGGCACATGGCTCGGTGCATGGCCGATGATGCGGTGGCGGTCGTACTTGCTCTAGGGAAAGACATCTTTAGTGTTATGGTTAAAATGATTCGATGAGGTTTAATAAATATGATTTTATGTACAGACGTGTATCAAACAGCAACGTGTCACATGGAGCGGATTGTGGGGGGGGGGGGCAGATGTCGCGGCGAGCGCATTCCGCGGCCGCGCCGGCTGCTCCGCCGGCAAACGGGTTTCATAGCCATGGCCATGATGAAGTCGACGACACCTTAATGATAATATACGATAGAGAAGCTATTTCGAGAGCATCCACCGCCGCGCAGTCACCACGCAGCCGCCGCGCCGCCGCAGCGCACGCCACGGTCCCCGAGCTCGGCGCCACTCAGTTGTCTTCATTCAATACTTGAATGTCAATGTAGCCAGTAAATTCAGATCACCTTATCTTACAGAGTGCCTTCTATTTGACTAAACGATACTACTATAAACATAAGTAAATATAATTAATTAAGTTCTTAAAGCTTTTCCAATAACTAATAATGTATGTATATAAAATTAAGAGAAATAAAAAGTGTGGAACTAGTGAAATCTTGTTTATATTCTCTATAACACTTTCCGCCGCCCTTCCTACAGACAAGCTTATCCTTATAAATAGCTTTAATTTATTAGATATACTATTAGTTTACTCTCATTCTCTTCAAATTTCCAATCTATTTGGTACGCGCTACAGTTTCCTCCAATACAATGCACCAGAGATGTGTGCGGTGTAGCGAGCGATATTGAACGTCGACTAATCTTGCGAAAAGGGTTTACTCCATCTTAATACGTTTATAAGTAAATGAGTGAATTTATTATGTTCTAGCTGTGGCCGCGACTTCTTCTTCGTGAAATTCTGTCTTTGGGAAGCTATTTTATTATTTAGGCTACTTATTTTACTAACACATATTGTATTATATATAACGACAAAACATTTTTAACTCACATAACATTCACATAAATCTCACACATTTTAATACAAACTTTCATCCCTATTGTTATTCTGCACACTTGAGGGTAACATTTTTAATATTGAATGTCATATTTATTGATATCAAATAATATCCTAAAAAATAAAAAAGACGATACTTTCATACAAATTTCCACCCCCACTTTCAAGAAACCTTACAACCCTCTTTTTGCTTTAAAAAGTAGCCTATGTCCTTTCCCAGGCTCTAGACTATCTCTCTACCAAAATTCATTTAAATCGGTTCAGTACTTTGCGTGAAAGAAGGACAGACAGACAGAGTTACATTCGCATTTATATTATTATTTTTTTTATATAATAAGTTGGCAAACGAGCGAGCGGCCACCTGAAATCGCTGAAATAGCGAAGTGACCGTTGCCCATAGACATACGCAATTGTATACGCGTTGCCGGCCTTTAATCGACGGAGGAGAGAATGCACAGAGTGAAAATATTTTCCCCTTCCATGCACCCTCTCATCCGGAAAGTCCACTTCCACTTCCCATCCTTCCCTTATGAGAAAAAGGGTGGGAGGGAAAGAGGACTAAATTAGGCCTCCGGGACGCACACTCATCAGACTGTACGCGGAATGGCTTCCACTTGGTGCCTGTCTTCTGTGTGGTCGTGGTCTTTCACCGGGCGAGCCGGGCCACTTCGTGCAAAGATGTTAAATCGGGCTCTACCACTGTTAGTAGTTAGTAAAGATTTAAGCTACATTATGTCAATTGGCAAACGACATACTTTGCGAAGAAATTCTCTTTATTTTTTTCTTATTATTTAGTAGTCAATATAAAATAAAACATATTTTATTTCGATCATGTTAAATTAGAACAATATTTTTGTGAATCTGTAATTGTTTTCATTATTTTTATTTTTCCAAAAGACAAAATGCGTGAGTTTATGCCATTGAGCGATAGGCAGAGAGAGGCCACGGCCTTCCATTAGGCGCGTTCCTGGCACACCCGCCTGGCTTCGCGCACATTCGTACATCTGGCATGCTGCTCGTCGCTTTCAGGTGGCGTGTGCTGTACGCCGCCCTCTGCCTCTGTGGCGTGCGGCCAGCCGCACCGGAGTGCCGAACTACAATCGGGGAATTTGTCGGCGTTCCACTATAAAAGCTAAACAGTCGTTTGAACGTTCTGTTACACTGAGACGAGGAATATGTGCAAATGAACAACCATATCCATGTTATAATATGGTATTTATTTATTTAATGCCACACAAGCTATATAATAAAGATGATTAACTACGATTATATTTAGTTCATATATGTAGGACAACTGACTTTCTACCACGCGTTTTGAACAATCATTCAATTTTGTAATGTTTGCTATATAGACATAAATGACTTTGCCACACGAAATAACGAAAACAGCCGTCGTTACAATTTTTTAAATTTTGCTTCAAACCCACTCAAGTTATCGTAAGGTAAGTAAGGAACGGTCATCATTTTTTCTTTAATTTGTAATAATTATAATATTGCCGGCAAGTGAAGCGCGTTGAGGGAGTGCGCGGTGCGGGGTGGGCGACGGGGGGAGGCGCCAGTTAGCCTTGGAGTAACGGTGAGCGCAGCCGATGCAACTCGTTCACAACTCGGCGCGGGTCACTGCCAGAACTCGTTCTTCGACTGAGCACGCTGCACAGCGCACCTCGCACTTGTCGCGCAACTCGCACCAGCGCAGCGCCACCTTACAGAGGAGATTCATTTCAAAAGTAAACAATCACTTTATCTTGAAATTAAGTTGATAAAAATGAGGCCGTTGCCGAGTGGTGGCTACAGGCTAGCGGATACTCGTGGCGATGCTTTGGTCACTTTCTCTCATGCATATTGCGAGCGCGTCGCAAGCTTATTTGGGGTGTTCTCCCGGGCTGGCTGCGAGGTGGAGCGGGGTCACGAGCGCTCACCACAGCTCCACAAAGTATAAGTAAACTATTAGCTTGTCCTATTGCATCAATGTTGACTATTTACTATATAACGAGTTCGATGGAAGTTGCGCAGTTTTTCCCAATGTAAAAAAAAACTTAAAGTATTAGTACAGGCACCAATGTGAAGTCAAAAAATTCAGACGTCCGCTGCGGTTAGACAACAATATTGTTGCACGGTTGATGAAACTATCCCCCATTTTAGCAGACAACAACAGCAGCATCTGTCGCACGAGTGGGGCGTTTCGCAGTGCAATATTGCGACAACACAGAAGATAGGCTTCAAGTGAAAACAATTCCGCGTTTTCTCTGACGAGTGTCCGTGCCGGAGGCCTAATTTTCCCACCCTTTCCTTATCCGTAAAGCACGGGAAGAGGAAGTGCATTTGACGGAGTATTGGACGCGTAGGAAGGGGCAATATTCTCCTACCGTGCGTCTCGTAGTCCATGGATTAAAGTTGTCGCGGGGAAACATTAAAATTATAAACCCGAGCCGAACGTATTTATGAACATGGTGCTTATCCGATACTGCTATACAAGTACAAACATACATATTGTAGCAGTAAACGTAGGAAGGGCTAATGTGATTATATTTGAATAGGTGCGTGTCGTCGTCGCAATCGTGCGGATGTTGTTTGCCCGCGGACATACCGCCGCCGCTTTGTAAGGAAATAAATATGTTTTCTTACTTTTCAAGACGATCTTCGGAATAAAATTAATTTACAATACTCTTCTGGTGAAAATAAGACATTTTCTTTGTAATACGGTGCAGTCGAGCATTAGCCCGGCCGCAGCCTGCCGGCACGCACCACGGGCGTTACGAGGTCTGCGTGAGCGTTCGGCGCATTGTACGGCCACTCACTACCTTCTTTTTGAGGTTAAGGTAAAAGTTCTAGAGACATCCATAAAAATAAGGACTTCCGTCACATTGTATTCTATTACAAGGCAATGAATGACGTAAAATCTGTCAAAGAAGTATAAACATGATGCATTTGATCTGGTACCTACCTGGTAACCTTTAGTCAAGTGTGGCAAGGCATCAGTGACACATTGGCTCGTCACGGTCATTGAGTCACAATGGGTCTGACAGTAGTGGCCACTTAGCATCTCGCCAGATGGCCTAGTCGCTAGCTGCTACCTTCCTCTTTCGTTAAAAACTAAGTAAGTACATAATTAAACTCAATTCACGCATCCAGTACAAGCGTACAAGTCACGTGCTCCCGAACAAGATGGATGAAAGTAACTAGGACGTAACGTCACATCGGTTAGAAACACACACACACATTCATATTAATATTTATAATTAGATTTAGCAAATAGCTCATATACAGTTACCAAAAATGAAGGATGGGCTCGGAGCGTGCGGGTGTGGCGAGCGCGCGGCGCGGCGTGAGGGGCGCGGGCATATGCTCGCGAGGGAACGACTGTCCGCTAATGAAGCAGCGGGCGCGGCGCCCATTACCGCCTGTTTATTGTCACAATTACTCCACGCCGCGCCCCCGAGCGCCTCGTGCGCCCCCAGCGCCACGGGTTCTTCGCCCTTGTGTAGGAGCCGCCGAATTATTACCTCACAAATCAATGGCTAGTCCGGTTTTCGACCTTTTGTAGTCTAATTGTAAGTGATACGAAAACAAAATGTGTACCTATCACAATGATGATGATGGCCGACATTCAGTATTTGCCACTGTGAGAAGGTCTGTGATAACTGTCTGGCGGTAAAGGTTGTCCTTGCTAATCGAGTATTAAAAAATAATCATGTGTCATCGTCATCGAAAAGCGGTATTACTTTCACGTTACTACAGTCTTTTGTGCGGTCATGCAGCAGCTAGTGCTGCTGCGGACTGTGCTATGTTACTGTTAGAACAAGGCGTATGTTGCACTGTTTGCACCGCGCGCTGCCCGCTGACCGCCGCCTGCCGCCCGCTACTCGAGCGCCTTTAGTTTCCTTACGTAACCAGTCGCGATTTTCGATAATTGTCTCTGCAAGCATCCTGCGAGCTGCGAGGTCAACGTCTTTGCGCTCCCCCGCCCGCCGCGGCGCCCCGCAAGCCCCGCGACCAATGCAGCCTTCAGTTTATTTCGTTAGTGAGTTACTCGTTCCAGTGTGCCGAGGTCCACCTCCGCACTGCACCACTGCTGCTTCGTCTGATACTCCTACGTCATCATATTAAGTGGAAAAAATTTAGGAATCCCGAATACACCAAATGATATTGAAATTGGTAATAGAATCACGTAGATGGGTAATACACGATTAGTTGTGAATTTCTCAATGTTCACTAGAAGACACGACAGTACTATCAGTTGAGAGTATTTATTTGTTTTCTGCAATTTTTGTCATAACATATTTTCTTTCCGTAGTATCGAGACGGCGATAAATACTTGCAAGCGTCGAACGAAATTGTGGGCGCTATTGTTTTACAAACAGCTTCGACATACATAGGTATGCGGCGACCGCGGCGGGTCAAATTAATATTGATGAGAGGAGGACGTCGCGCCACCGCCTCAAGACGCACATCCGCTGCTGTCGACTAACAGTTGGCGATATCAGTGTGCCGTTTGAATCTATTGGTACCACGTCTGCCCAGCGTTGCTTTGCGCCTCGCCTGGCCACCTGGCTGTCTGGCTGCCTGGCTGCCCGGCTACCTAGCTGTCAGGTCGCGCAACCGCACGGCCCCTCCGGAGCGCATCTGTGGGTCAGAGGCCAAGCAAAATCAGGTCGCTTAGAGGACGCCGCAATGACATACGCTCGTGTTCGTTGTAAACATTTTGTTATTTTGGTTTTATCAGTTGCGAAAAGATAAACGAGCAAAATATGTTTCGCCAAAAAGAGAATTTAAGCTTAAACATTTTATTCGATTCGATTATGAAATGTGTTAATCCAATATATTTTATATACTTAATTGTTCACATGCATATGTACATCAAATACATTACAGAATTATTCGGCGTGTAGGAATGCCCTATGGGGTAGACCATTTCCTAGGCTGAGTCCCGAGGAATACATACAGGGTCGCAGGCTGATCGCCGCGGGTCAACGCCAGGCGCCTGGTGCCGGGCGTGTTCGTGCGGTGCGGCTCGCGGGCGCGCCTACTATCGAGTCGCGTGTCGCACTTTTAATTAAGTCCTCGCAAATGAATTAACCGTAATATTTTTTGCTATTTAGTTATTACATTAGAATGTTTCCGCCCCCGCGGCAACTTGCCATGCTCGAGACATTACAATCATTCATTAAGAGCCACACCACTTACATATATATGAAGCGTCATAATTGCAAGTAATTTTTTGTCTCCGAATGCTGGTACTGCGATTGAATGGAAAAAAGGCCAAATGGCGAGGACATAGAGGTTCTATCCATTCGCCGCTCATTAGAGTTCAACGCGCAAGAGCCTGCGCCTGCCGACCCTCGTGATGGACAGCCTCGCCGAGAGTACCGGCTTGCCTGAGAGAGCACAAATACTTTATTGCGGAAAAGTACATTTCTGAATTTTATTAGTTTTTATTAATATTGACACAGGAAGGATATGTTTTTCACGCGTATATTATTATAGTTTGTATGTACGTGTGTCAGTGTGTATGTATGTTGAGTGACGACCGAACTGTTTTGTATTCGTTCTCTTCTGTGATCTGTGCTGTGAGAGTTCACTTCAGGTTTTATGGTTTTCAATTAATAAACAATGATATTTGTTGATGTCGTTTCTAACATCTTAATGTGTGCTTTGTTTTATTCGAAATGGAATGTATTATATTTCTTCCATTGGCTTTAAAAATAAAAGATTTTTAAAGTAGCAGTTTGTTTAATATCAAAAACTATTATTGTATAATAAATAATCAATTGACAGTGTAGAGGATGGCGGCGATGAAGAGAGGTAATAAAACGATGAATTTTCGATTGTTCCGTGTGCCGACCCGACCGACTACCTTGCAATAATGTTATTTATTTTATTCCAAAGTTACCAACAGTTTTTACATTTACCTTGGTAATAATCAGTAGTTTACAAAACGGTACATTATGGTACTAATACACAATACAAATACATATGAAATACTCGTACACACAGAAAGATAATAAAATAACTCAAAGTCGATACATTGAAATACTTAACTAAAATAATGAAATATCACAAAAAGCTTTGACATTCCATCGTCAACAGACAGCAAGAGCGGTCATGTACAAGGTGTAGGTAGGCTACTGGCGCTACAGGTGGCGGTCCGTTGCCGCGTCACCCGCCTGGTGTGCACCCCCCGTCGCCGCCCAAAGCCGCCCAACACCGCCCACAGTGGGAAACTTCATTGCAGATAATTCAGAAAAAAGCTTTTATGTACTGAGTCGTATGCTGTGTAAGGGCCCAGATCACAACGGCCCCCCCACCCCCCACCCCCCACCCCTTGCGCATCGCCATCGCATCCATGAAATTTTGTTAACTTGGAAAAATGTAAATTATAGTATTATAAGAGCGTAATATTCATAAATACGAAGGCGCGAGGTATTACCAGCTTCAGTTTGAGACTTAGAGAACGGGGATATCAGACAGAATACGTCTCTAAAACTTTTTCCTCACTATGCCATATGACATTTTGGATATTATACTTTACGTGGTTTCAGGCAGTCTTTTTATTTATTAAAAGATGTGAGCAGTGCCGCGTATGTCCACCACACTGAGCTGAGTATGATTTCATTGAAATCCCCTGGGGTGTCATTCAATTTGTGTTTTTGGAAGTGTCGAAGGTCATACATAAGCGTCGGAAGTACAGCAATGACTTTCCGAGGGAGTCGTGCGCCAGTGAGGCAGTGGCAGTATGCCGGCGCCGCGCATCGTGAACCGGTTCATATCGCGATCGAGTGGCACTGCTGAATGAATTAAATGCTAGATACGGTCCGCGCGGCGACAGGTGCTACACCC